CAAATTGTGAGAAATGCTGGCTATCCAGCAGGACTATTGTGAAATATCACACAGAGAGGCAAGTGTGGGTCTGGCACATAATAGATGATTAACAAATGTTACTTTCTTCCCACCCTTGTCCCCCACCCCAAGCCAAAACCCAACCCCAAGCCTCTGGCTACCTCTGTGCAGACACCCTAGGGGAAGCCATGCTGGCTAGGCTGGGGGTAATCCCCACCCTACTTTGTAGAGCCTCTTTGGACCTTGGTTGGATTGTTCTCCTTAAGAGTAGGTGAGCACTGCATGGAAGCATTAAATAAAGATCACGTAATTATTGGCCACTGTTTGGAGCTGTCTTTCATTCATTCATTCATTTATTCATTTGACAAATATTTATTGAATGACTACCTACTACTTGTCAGGGAACATAACAAAGTACTTGCCTTCATGGAAATTACATCCCAGAGGGGCGATGGAGGTGGTAGGTGAGGTAAAAGAACAGACAATAAACAAGTAAGTCTAAAATATAAGGAAGGCTATGGAAAAAACTAAAGCAGGGGAAGTTTCTGCACCTCCCAACAGTGACTATAATTTCATCCATTATAATAATTATAATACTTAATGTTGTTTATTTAAGCATTGGGTACATGACAAGTGATTCCTAGTTCTCTCTACAGGGTGGTTGATATTAACAGATACGGAAATAGAGGCTCAGAGAGGTTCAATGACTTGCTCTGTCTGGCAGGGTTCAAATTGGAATTTAGGTCTGCTATTCATTTATCCCTCACACATTATGGTGGGAGTTGTAAACAGTGGAGCAAGATCCACATGGTTTTTGTCCCCTTGAAAATCCATTTGGATGGGCAGACAGGCCTTGGACCAGCCCCATACACCATGAGATTATCTTGTTCTTGAAGGTATCATGGAGCATGATATGTCAAAATGGGACACAGTGGTAATAATAACAATGGCTGGTGTTTTCTGAACATTTACTGCATGTTCAGTGCTATGCTCAGCACTTTTTCCTCATTCTGTTAAGATGCTGTTATTCCCATTTTACAGAGTAAACAGGGGCTTAAAGAGGTTAACAGGCCTAACATTAGTTACATAGTCAGCCTGATGCCCAGGAGAGTTTCTTCAGTGGTCAGTGTTGGAGGAGAAGGGAGATGGGACTGGGTGGTGTCAGCCTAATGTTGGTGGGCAAGGTCAATGTCAAGATATCAAGGGGTCTTCAGTACTGTTAACATCCGGAAGCCGGTACCTGGGTCCCTGAGAACTTCTGAAGCCAAGAATGACTGCACCTCAACATTCCTCAGACTCTAGGCTACCGCCTCCATTCCTCAGCAGGTGCTGAGGTGAGGGAGTTAGGTGGTCCTTGATGAGACTTCACTCAGGTCTGGAGGTCTACCTTAAATTCAGTAAAATGTGTGTGGTGCAGTTGCCCTTCACCCATTTGGAATTTGATGAGTATCTTGCATGGGTAGAGAGCTATTGTATTATTATAATGTTTAACTAGTGTCTGTCCCTCATCATTTGCAAAGTCATGGGGCTCAGAAAACCCCCAGGGACTGGTAATCACTTGGTGGTGGAGCTCCTGCACACAAAATCACCTGGAAGGGGTTGGACTGGCAGCCCTTATGCTGTTCTTGGCCCCACCTCCCAGAAGGAGCCTGGGAGAAAGGTAAGCTTTAGATGACAGGCCAGGCCCCATCCCTCCCAATTTACTCCACTCAAGGTCTGATTAAGGGGACCCAGCCTCCTTTCTTGGAGTCATTTAATCTTTGGGGACAGTTCTTGATCTGTGTGGAGTGTTCAGAGGCAGACTCTGCAGCTCAGCTCTGCAGCCCACCAGGTGGGCGGCCTGAGCAAACCAGACCTTTCTCTTGGCCTCAGTTTCTCCAATTGTAAAGGAAGATAAGTGAAGGCTTCTACTGCTTACCACACAGCTCTTTTGTAAAGAACTGTTACTATTGTCATAGATAAAAATTGCAATAAATCCAGTAGTTGGGGCCATTTTCTCATGCCAGCTCTGTGCTAAATGCTTTACCTTTGCTAATTTTTTTCTAGCACTAAATGAGTGGGTAGTTAGCATCCTTATTTTAGTAGAGAAACTGGAGCACAGTGATATTGGTGATCCAGCTAAGGTCACACAGCTAGGAGATAATAGAACAGGGAGTCCCCAGCACCCATCCTGCTCTCTCTATATTTTTTATCTGATATTCTTTTTCTTGATGTTGGCGAGGGTCTAATCTGACCATAGGCTATCCCCTTCAGTGTATTATTACCTGTCCATTGACATCTGGAGCAGTTAGTGCTGCTACTCAGGACTTTATCTTTGTTCCCCTTCAAGTAATCACTGGCCTTGGACCAGTCTTCCCCCTTGGCTTGGATGTCCTAGGAACATGCAGGGGAATAAATTTAAAATATGCAGAGGTAGGAATGAGGTTGCAAATTCCAGGAGATTCTGGTTGCCCACCCCTTACTCTCCTACCTCCTACTCTGGACAAGTCAGACTTACCTGCTTGCTGCCCAGCTTTGGGAGAAGATTTATCCAATCTGCCCTCTCCCTGGAAGTCTGTCCATTAAGTGCTCTTGTCCAGTGTCCTGACTGAGTGGAACTTGAGGTCTGATCTCCTGCCCTTGTGACCTTAAATTTCAAAGCTCCCTCTTTCCCAAAGCCCAGCAGCAGGAGATGGTCACTCCTTTGCTACCTGCTCATCTGGTGGTCAGTTCTCTCTTCAACATATGGCCACAACAGGCCTTCCATTGATCCCAGTGGAGCATTGCTAGTTCTTATGCACCATTTATTAATTTCACAAAACAAAAGCATTGGCAGGTGTCCAGCTTGACAAATTGTCAGACCTGTGTACATGTCCACCCATCGATGTGGCTTTGTCCCAGGCCCCCTGTCAGGAATTTATTACATGCATGTGGTGTGTAATACCAATATGAGAATATATGCAGAGTCAGGGACCCAGTAGGTGGGTGACAGAACTGGAATTTGAGCACCCGTTTTAACAGGGTGCTGTGGATGGGCTGGCCTGGAATGTCAGAGCAAAGTGGCTTGGGCTACAGGAAGCCACCCAGTGGTGATTGGGTGGGGACAGGGGAGTACAGGTTGTCTGTGTCTTAGCAGCCTGGGTTAGGGTGATCATGAGTGGGTGGGAAAAGGGTGTGTCTGAGTGTGGGTCCCAGTGACCTGGGACTTAAAAGCAACTTGGAGGCTGCCTTTTATCCACCTTCCCCACAGCTTAAGCCATTTCACCCCAACATCCTGAAGAATTTCTCCCCATTACACCATGCCTGATCAGCACTATTTCATCTCCTGCTCTGGCTTGGGGGCCTTTCCCAACAGGCTGCTCTCCCTGAAACCCACACTACCCAGGCTCAGAGTATGAACTTGCTGAATGCTCACTCAGGGTTGATGCTGCACTCAGGGCTTCCCACAGAGTGCCTTGGTACATCTTCATTCTGTGTAGTAGACACTGCTTGCATGAACATATTTGAGGCCCCGAGAGGCAAAGAGTGTGGGTGGCAGCATTCTTGCACCCTGGCTACTAAGTGCCCTTCTGTCCCTGCTAAAAGCCCAGCACTGCTGGGCAGGGCCATCTTCAAATAGCTGGGAAGACTTGTGGGAAAGTGACTTCTCAGCAACTTCTCACACCCCCTACTGAACCTTCCTGTTGACGTACCTGCTCTTTTCCACCCTGACTGTGGGCACTCCTCGCTCCTCTTCCCCAGCCTCTGCCTTCTGGGAGACCAAGGCCTGAGGATGAAGATGTCCAGGGTCCAGGTCCCAGCCTTCCCTAGAGATACTCATGGTCTGTCGAAGAGGCGTGGGTGAGCCTGCGACTGTCAAGAGACACACAGCAGTAGTAACAGGGGCTCACAGATAACAAGGGTGTGTCAGGCACCTGCCAGCAGCCAGATGCAGAGCTGAGAGTGCTAAGAATTTTTTTAGCTTCTAGTTCTTATTTTTGACATCTGGAGCAGTTAGCGCTGCTGCTGAGGGGCTTTATTTTGTTTACCTTTAAGTAATCACAGGCCTCAGACCAGTCTTCCCCCTTGGCTTGGATGTCCTAGGAACATGCAGGGAAATAAATTTAAAACTTGCAGAGGTAGGAATGAGGTTGCAAATCCCAGGAGATAACATTAACAAGAAAACATTCAATCAAATTTTAAAAGTTAGGGTGGATTAATTTAAAATAAAATAATAAACTCAAAATATCAGCCCTTTCATTTAGGGTCAAAGAGGCCAATAGTTTCCATTTAAACAGATTTACAAAATTTATATTTTAACCTATATTTGATGGCACAGAAATATAAAAAGCATATAGCTTCCATTGAGACTTTTCCTTCCCTTCAGAGTATAATTTCATACAATTGCTCCTTTGTTCAGTTCTCAAACTTTCAAAAAATATTTTGAAATATATCTACAACTCCACTGATAACAAGAACACTCTTAAAACAATTCTTATAGGACAAACTCTTATTGTTCTCTGTCATTGCCATGAAAAAAGTATTGTTGCAGAGTTTTCATTTTACCTCTGAGCACACGGGACTCAAGAAGGGCTCAGTACTGGCTGAAAGTCACAGGACCAGAAATGGACGCTCCTGAGATATGAGCCCAGCCTCCCACTCCGGAGTCTGTGAGCAGTTCAGGTGTTGAAGAAATGCTGCTTTGAAGGTTGTTGCCAGATGCTGTTCATGTGCACAGTTTACACCCTAATTTGAGGGTTGTGGGGAGTGGGTGGTCATCCACAGAGGGATCCCACATGTCTCTCTCCTTCACTGCCCAGTCAGCTACCCAAGGGCAGGCTGATTGGGGCTTGAGTGGGACTGTGCATGACTAGTGCTCAGCCTTGGTCATCCCAGCATGGATCTTTCGAAGGTAAGGAATGGGTGCTTACTGGATCTTTGTGGAGCCTTACAGTGGTGAGCTCAGTCCCCTTCTTATCCAGGCCAGTCTCCTCCCTGGATATCCTGGTTCTGATCCCAGGCTTTCCACCCTCTCCTCACAGGGAGCCGGGAGGCTGCCTTCACCTATGCCATCATTGCTGCTGGCGTGGCCCATGCCATCACAGCCGCCTGCACCCAGGGCAATCTAAGTGACTGTGGCTGCGACAAGGAGAAGCAAGGCCAGTACCACCGGGATGAGGGCTGGAAGTGGGGTGGCTGTTCGGCCGACATCCGCTATGGCATCAGCTTCGCCAAGGTCTTCGTGGATGCCCGGGAGATCAAGCAGAACGCCAGGACGCTCATGAACCTGCACAACAATGAGGCGGGCCGGAAGGTAGGGCAGACCCAGACCTGGAACAGCCCTCGGGGCTCCCAGAACAGCGACAGAGCTCCACCTCTAGTTGGCTCTGTGGCTCAGGGTGTGGCATGAAGCTTGTCAGTTACTAGAAAGGTTGAATAACTGAATCTTGGTGAAAATTTGATGTAACAGCGAAATGGAAAGAGGGAGGCTTGTGAACTCTTATCCCTGGGTCCACAAAATCAGCTGTACAAACTCTGATTGGGGGAGAGGTTGAGGTGGGTCCAGCAGGAGTCATCTCTAAACATCAGGGCCGCTAGCATGTCATTGATCACTGCAGCTGGAATCTGGCTCTCAAAATAAAGGCAGCATTTTGAGTGTCTCCTCAGATGTTCCTGGATTCTGAGCTCAACTTGGAAGAGAGCTAGGAATGTTCCAGGATATTTTTAGTGCAGGTGGCTGGGACAGAAAAGCACTGAACACCCATCCCATGAAAAGCTGGCTGTCCTAAGGCAAGGTAGCAGAGCAGCCTAGAGTGCAGAGTGTGGGCCAAGGGGTGAAGAGATCACGGAGAAGTAGGTTCTGTTGTGAGGGGCCAAGCCACAGCCATAAGATATGGAGTGAGCTATCAAGAAAGGAGTGATCTCTTTATCCCAGGAAGTATTTGGGCAGAGGATGTTCAAGGTACCCAAGTCAGTGCTGCAGCCTATGGTTGGGATTGTGTTCTTAAGTGCCTTTAAAGGCTGAGGTGCTCAGAATCCTTCCTGGAACCCCCAGGCCCAGGAGATGCTGGGAAAGAAAAAGCTCAGATGTTGGGTGGAGCTCTGTGATGAAGTGTCTGTGAGCCAGAGCAGATGGAGAGGGGGGCTTAGGGCTATCTGGGTGGAGACAGACCACTGCAGTGACTGGACTTATGCTGTCACTACCTGGGACCACAAATGCTGGTACCCAGGGTGGCTGGGCAGGAGCAAGAGTGACAAGGACCTAGCAAACCATACTCAAGGCTATAGTGGACTCAGGAATGCAAACCCCATCCACAGGCCAACACTGTGGCTATGTAGGAAGATCAGCCCACTGTGGCCAGACCCAGAGTTTAGACTCAGATTTTTATTTACCATCACTTAATTTTTAAGTGTTGGCATTTCAATCTGATTGACACCAGTAGAAAAGGTAAAAAAGAAAGAGGATTACCAGATGCTCAAGTATATACCGTATTTTTCAGACCATAAGACGCACTTTTCCCTCCCGTGGGGTGGGGGGAAAAGTCCCTGCGTCTTATGGTCCAAATATAGCCTACACATATACTTTAAAAAAAAAGTTTTTTTACTTGACCGGCTCTGTGTGGTCTCTGTGTGCTTGCCTGGCTCTAAAATGGTTCTAAATGCTGCTGTTTACTTTACAGGGTTGATTACATGTGTTTATGACTGTGATGTTGGGTTTTAATGCACATAAAATATTTTAGGACACTATTTGTTTCAGAATCTTTTTTTCATTTCCCTTCTCTAAAAACTGGTGCATCTTATGGTCCGGAGCGTCTTATGGTCCGAAAAATACGGTAAATCTACTGGCTAAGTGTGGGCTATGAATGCCCCATTTGGGTGACAGATGTATTAAGTGGTACATGCCTTGTTCTGCTGGAGCACGTCTGTGGGCCAGGAAGTGTTATAGCTCTGGATGTATCAGCTCACCTAATTCTCAAAGCATCTCTAAGAACAGTAGCATCATTATCCCAATTTTACAGGTGAAGAAATTGAGGTTCATAGTGGGTAAGTAATGGGCTGAGGGTCCCATAGTTAATAAGCAGTGCCAGAATTCTGTCTCTTAAGCTGGCATTCTTTTTAAAAAATATATATATTTTCATTAATTTCACAGAGGAAGGGAGAAGGATAGAAAGATAGAAACATCAATAATAAGAGAGAATCACTGATTGGCTGCCTCTTGCTCACCCCACACAGGGGATTGAGCCTGCAACACAGGCTTGTGCCCTTTACTGGACTCAAAACTGGGACCCTTTAGTGCACAGGCCAATGCTCTGTCCACTGAGCTAAACTAGCTAGAGTTCAAGCTAACATTCTTTACACAGCATACACTGCTGTAGCATGGTGGTCAGAAGGCTGCTTGTAGGCTGACAATGGGCTGCCTGGTTTAGATCCTAGCTTTGTTACTCCTTCCCAGGAAGGAAGTAAAGCTGGCAGGAGTGTCCTCAGGGCTGAGGTGAGGAGGGAAGGAGACAAGGCAGGAGACCACTTACCCCAGGGCCTGGTACAGAGTTTTTCCTCACCACAGGGTGGCTGTGATTACAAGTTGTGCAAATGTGTAATGCAGGAGGGAGTCCATCTGGCAAATGTTGGGGGGGGGAGAGGAAGGGAAGGGGTGGGTAGCCTGCACACCTTAGAAAGGAGCAGGGCTCCCCTCTTGCAGATGAATGGGAAGGGACAAGCTGTCCCTTCCTCCAGCCTTCAGGTACCCCTCCCTCCTTCCTCTTCTCCAGCCTCTGGCCACATCCTGTGTGTAAGAGCCTCCCAGGAGTCTGGGTGAGTCACAGCTGCAGAGCACTCACCGGACACAATGCTGTCCTGGGTTAATTGCAAGGCCCTGTCTGGCTCCACGCAGCTCCTGTGGCTGGCAGCTCCTGTGCGGCCAGCACATCTCTCCAGGCTTTTTGGCTATTCATTTTACCTGGTTTCTGTGGTCAGATCACTCCTTAGGGCATAAGGCACAGGGTGCAGGCTTCCACTTGCACTTGAAACACTTCCTTGGGTCAGAAAAAGGGAGTGCTTCAAGAGTCTTCCCACTTCCAGCCTCTGTTTTCTTATCTGTAACTACCTGGATGGGCCACTGTGAGAATTAAAGAAGAGAATACTTAGCTGGGGATAAGAAAGGTTCAGTATATCCAGTGGGAAAGACTTTCCCAAGCCATGGAGCTCCACAGCGTGAGAGCCACGGCTGCTGTTTCAGGCAGCTCTTGGGTGGTACAGATGCTGGAAGCTATCAGATTATAAGATCAACCTCAGTAGCTTCCTGGAGGAGATGAGTAAGGTTTGGCTTGGCAAGGAAAAGAGGAGAAGGCAACACAGGTGTGGTGTGAGGAGGCAGTGGTCAAAGGTCCAGAGGTGAAAGCTTGGGACAAGTTCAGGGGCCCAGACTGGCTGGTCTGTGAGTCACAGCAGCTGGAGAGCCTGCATGTTCACCTTCCAGGCCTTGGAGTGAGAGCCTTAATTTATCCCCCCAGACCTGTCAGGTTTCAGCTCAGATATCCTCCCTCAGATAAGCGTCCTTTTCAATTCCTTCCTACCCTTTTCTTAAAAGTCATCTTGTTCTTTTCTCTTCCACCTTCCTCCATACCAGATCATGAGCTTGAAGTGTCTTATTCATAGCTTATCCACAATGCTGGCATACACAGCCACCCTCTGTGTAGAGTGAAGAGTTGAGTACCTATGCTCACTGGTGAACCATTGATGATTCTGGAGCAGGGAAGGGGCAGAAGTCATATACACTGACTCTAGGAAGGCAGAGGAGGCCCTGGGTGGGATCAAGAATGGAGTGTAGAGTGAGTGCAAACTGGGCTCTCCCAGAATGATGAGGAAATAAGACATTTTGGCGGGGGGTGGTGGGGGGTAAGGGGGTGGGTGAGAGAATGGGTGGGGTGTGTGTGTGCTAGCAGCCTGACTCTGTATCCCTAATGTACATTCCTGTTAGCCTATAGTCTAGTCACTGCCCCTTTCTTAATTACCTGGTCTTGCAAGATCTGTTTACCTAAATACTCACATTTTAAAGAGGCCATAAACCATGAACAATACACAACCCCTGGAGAGGGTTATCAGCACTGGCACCAGGCCAGGCCTTTAGGTGTGTTCTCATGGTCCCCATCCCAACACACAGGACTTTTTGCAAAGCCTGTGAAAGTTCCAGAAGTATGATCCATATTTGGGGGACAAGGAACCCAAAGGTTATAAAGAGAAAGCTTTCTCCATATTGGTTTGCTCAGGATTTGGAAACAGGCTCCCTTGAGTTACAGTATTAGTGCATCTGGAAATAAATGTTTTTTTCCTGTATCCCTGAGTATTTTTCGGTCACTTGGTAAATTCTGTAATAAGCTCAGGTAAACCAGCAGAAGGGCTCTCCCCATGTTGGCCTAGCTCCCTTCTGGCTTGTGAGGACACTTGTGGGTAGCTCCCCGGGATAGCAGGCACTCTGTATTTTCCAGAGTCAAGAGGTGGGATTTGGGACTCCCCAGTGTACATAAGGAAAGGCCTGATCATCCACACGTCTGGCCCTTTGTGGTGTAGGGGTGCAAACCCAGGGCAGTGGCCACACTGCTCAGCTAGATCCCTGCAGGATGGTGGTCTCTCAGCCCAGCCCTCTCTGCTACAGGGCACCTAAGCACCCACACACATATCCAAGTGGTCAGGAGCAAGGACAGCCGCCTAGCCTAAGGCTTGGTGTATATCAGTACCGAGTCCCGTCAGTACCTGGGGAGACAGTTTTCCCATTTTTCAAATGGGACTATGACATTGATTTATTCCGTATCCCAGGTGCTGGCCAGGGACAGGTGAGGCATACAGGTGCTCCAAGATTCTGTGTGCCATCTATTAGAAGGCATGGGGTCCCACCCCAGAACCTCCCCCACAGCAGGCTTCTGTGGGTCACACACACACACAGGAGAAAAGAGGTCAGCCTGCAGCCACTCCTGGCTGAGCATCTTGGAAAGGCTCACAGTGTTTATCACTGACTCCCTCGCTCTTGCTGTGAGCAGACAAGACTCAACCTGACTACAGACTCTGGGTCTTGTTGGCAGCTGTTTGAGAAAAGAAGGCAGGGGGAGTTAGGGAGGGGTTGCTTGTACTGAGGGGCAGAGGTGGTGGCAGATCCAATGAGGGGAAACCAGGGGCAGCCCACTGACTCACCTGGCAGAGAGGGAGAATAAATGCTGTGGGAGCATCCTGCCCTCACAGGTCTCCACTCCTCTAGGAAGAACAAGGTGCTGATCTGTGGATGGGTCACAGGGCTGGGCAATGGGGACTTCTGTGGGACAG